GGGGGGCACCTTACTCCGTCTTTCTGTCTGTCTGTCTGTCTGTACCTGTGTATTCTCATGTTCCGATTAACCCAGTTTCCCCCAAATCTCTTTTTTGTGTCCATATATACACCGGGATCCTGAGTCGAGGCTAATCCTGTTGCTGTGGTCGTGTGTCCTGGATCCTCTATCCTGAGTTCTGGATCTGAGTCCTGGACTACGAGTCGTAGCTGAACCTGTCTCTGCGGTCCTGCCTGACTCTCATCACCATACTACTTCCCTGATGGCTCCCACAAGATTGTTGACATCCTCGTGGATTCATCTTCTTATTATAGACAGATGCATTTCCAAACATTTGGTCTACCTATGTTGTAAATGTATTATCTCTTCGATTTACACACGGCATCTACTGCACGTCTGTCCGTCCTGGGAGAGGGATCCCTCCTCTGTTGGTCCCCTGAGGTTTCTCCCATGTTCCCCTTTAAACTGTAGGGTTTTCTCTGGAAGTTTTTCCTTGTACGATGTGAGGGTCTAAGGACAGAGAGTGTCGTATTGTCATACTGATATTCTGTACAAACTGTGAAGACCACTGAGACAAATGTAACATTTGTGATATTGGGCTATATAAATAAACATTGATTGATTAAACATTGATTACATGTTGTAATGAAAGCAATGTTCGGATGAAAGTGTAGATGAAGTATGAAAACCAATGTAAAAAACATGTTTCCAAACATAAAAACCTGAAAAAAAAGCCATGGTCGGCTTCAACTTCTCACTTAAATGATTCATATTATGCTGATGACTCTTCATGGAAGCATTTAATTTAAGAGCTGTTTTATCAGAATGTAGTGCAGATGTCTCCGAGCCCTGTGGCTGAGTGTGTGAGGTCTTCCTACCTTGTAAAAAGGTTAGCTGTTAAAAAGACTTGTAACTTTTTGGATCAAGTTACTCTGATAACTACATCAAATATGTGTTTCTTCTAAAAAGGGACAATCATTTGCAAAGTCACTGCCACAGTGAATGTGTTTTCTAAGAGACAAAAAAAGATAAAAGCTTGTTTACAGATTTACAGCATGTGGCACAGCTCTTTGTTTTCCACTGCCACTACACAGCAGTTGCTGACACAAAAATGCACAACCACGATTTAGGGTTAACTCTCCCTTCTGACCTTTGACTTCTTGCCATTCTTGTCAGGGATGTAACTGTCTTCAGTCAATCTAGCTTATATCCTTGTGTCTTCAGAGTCCAAACAAGAAGCTGGACATTCTTTTGAATGTGGGAGTCAGGGGAATGGGACATCCCTGAGGATTGAACTGTTTCTCTCCCACAAGCATGACATTGTCTGCATGTGTGTTGGCTCACATGAAACAGGCCTAGGCTTTGCTGTTGCCTCGTCAGCAGAGAACACACTGTGGCTGACTCATTCCCCTGACCAACGCCACAGTCTAATCTGCGGCCCGACAAAAGATAAAAGCAAAGTTGCATGAGTTTACAAAGACTTGGGAGGGAATCCTACTGCTTACACATTCTGTTCATTCAGATTCCTCTAAAAAGCTGGGAGAACATAATAAAGAACAGATAAATGGCATGTGAGGTAGTAAAACAACTAGGTAGTAGTACAGTCAGGGTTTATTCCACACCATGTGTTTCGTATTTAACCCAGTTTCACATGAAACTAGGCCATGGATCATTTCCTGCTTGAAGACTTCAATTTTGAAAAGCCACGTGTGTACACACACACACACACACACACACACACACACACACACACACACACACACACACACACACACACACACACACACACCAACAGACACGCACACCGAGACACACTCTCATGAGCCTGTGTTCTTTCATCTTGACCCCTGAAAGACCACATGCTGGGAAGAATTCCCGGTGCGTTATGACTGGGGACAGTAGCTAGTTTAAAAGAAGAAAAAATAAGAGCAAAGGCGGAAATAGAGAATGACATTTTTTGCTAGTTATGGCCAGTCTTAATTACTCTGTTTAATCTATCTCTTTAGATGAGACATTTGCAGAAGACACATTCATCGATGAAGCTTTTCCAAGCGACATTTTGAAGGACTGTAAGCACTAACCATTTCTGTTTTCATTAATGTAACATATGACTGCCTTCAGAGACCGAGTCATAGCAGACCCATTGTACAGCACAAACATTTACAGAGGAATAACACTGCAGGCACAACATATGTGGATGTTTTTCACTGCTTTGCAACACTGAATATTCCTGTATATGTGTTTCTCACCTGCTTTCATTTGATAGGGTTTGATTAAACTAGATTGAAAGACTAAAGTTTGATAAACTCAAATCAAAGTATTTCCTAAGTTCTCCTGCCTTAGAATCAGGATTTATTAGACCACCAGTGCAGATCTGTGATCTGTGGTTTAGAGATTAGTTAAAGCTGTGGACAATTGATAGTGCATCAATTCAAATGACACTTTGAAAATGTGTATACAAGCATAATGAATTGCATATCATTGTTTATTGTTAAAAATTGGTTTAAAGAAACACACATAATGACTTTTTGAATTCAATCTGTGGCAAATTAATCTGAAGTATTTGAACACTTTCAACTTTGTCGCCCTCAAGTGGAAATGTAAAAAAATACCCTAACATTTTGTTTTAATTGTAAAGAAATTCCCTTTGTTGGCTGTAAAAAATGTATCTTCATTTTTTTCAATTTGTGTACTATAATAGCATAATAAAACTGTGAATAATTTGACTCAGTTTGAATGGATCATTACACACACCTTCCTTTGCATGTTAGGGTTCAATATCGTGCAAGAACAAAGAAAAGTGTAACCCTTGCTCATTAAACTGCCATCAAGGGGCTTTTGTAATAGATCAAATATCCACTCTCACTTTAACAATCAGACCCATTGAAGTATTGTGGCACTTCAACATGTTGAGAAAGCCTTAAGGCAACACAAATTAAAAAAGGGTTGAAATATTAGTATAAATCATGACACATCTAATAGTCTACTAAAGATTAAAGCCTGGCTGGATGTTAACTCTGAGAAATTCATCTTTTGATAAACTGAAATTTGAGGAGATCATACGGGTTGGGGGCACTCAAAAGAGAATCTGCAGTGAGCCATTGTGTCACTAATTTATAGAGAAGATCAAATTAAGTGTTTTATTAATAAAAAAAACGTTATCTTACATTTTCACTTGGAAACTCTTTTAATTATTATTGGCTTTAATCATTGGCATGTCCATTTTAATCAGAGCATTCCTGCAGGTGAATGTCAATACACTCTGTCACGCCATATGTGGAAAGAAATCAGTAATGCATTAATCAAAACAACAATCACTCTCTACTAATTCTTTCATCTTAGCAACACAAACATGTGGTCTACTGTTTTTTTTTTTATTGCTTTGAGATCATCATCAACTCACAAGTATTGCAGCAGTATGCACACAAACCAAACAATCATGCTAATTTAAAAAGAACCAATCAGACCACCAACATGTGAATACCTAGTGAGATGTATCAAATTAAGCTACAGACTAGAAAAGTGAAGGATAACAAACAGATTATTTATCATAATTTAATCAGAGCGTTGTGGGTGGTATTCAGTGTATGTGAGGGGAGACCAACAGGTGAGGTAATAACTGCTCACGAGTTATTGGCAACATGTTGCCAAAGAAAAGTAATAAAATCACTGAGGAGTAGCTGGAGGAAAACCACCCAGATCTGTTATTGCTCGAAGGGAAGCTGCAAAGAGAGGGGGACGTGGGGCAGGTTGAGATAAGTGGCACCTGCAGGTGTTACAGACCTGGATAATTAGTCATATTTCAACACGTTTCTTGCCCTCAAGTCTTAAATGTGGCAATCAAAATATATATTCCAATCATGATGATAGGGTAGAAAAAGAAACTGGAATGCTGCACAGACGTTATTACTCATTAACTAAATGGAAAAATCGAAAGTGAAATGTTACCACTTCTGTCTAAATGGGCTCTTGGTTTATTCTTTTATAGCTTCTGTGCAATAACACGTGTTTCAGTAATCAACATATACAAAAATCAGTCTTAACTCAAGGTTCATCTGCAAGCTTTTTCCAGATCTTTTTATCACACGGTCCTCATCAGCAACTGCAGTAGGCTCTGTTGTAATGGTGATGGATCCGTTGACAAGCTGGCATTGAGCGTTTAAAATGGATGAAAAGTGCAATGGATGAAATCATAACAGCTGCTGAGATTGCATGGCAACAGATCCATCCCCATGACAACTGAGCAATCTTTATCTGCGGATGAAGATCATGTTTTACGGCTGAAATCTCAAGAGAAGGTCCGGATTATTTTTGTTAAACTACAACTTCCAAGGCCAGGAAGGAATATTGAACATGTTTCACATCAGGGGGGGCGGTATACAACGCACACATGAGGGGGACATTTGATAGCTTAATCATTGTGGGATCATTGTGTACATTAGATGTAATAAAATCAATGCATTTGATCAAATATTTTCATTCATTAAAGTCAGCAGGTCAGCTTTTGTTTTAACGCTTGGACTCGTATTTCTCAGACTTGTTTAAGTTATACATTGTATAATTGTTGTTATACATTATATAGTTGTTTTTTAATCTTTTTTATCACCTAAAGTAACTTTCTCACTATGGATAAACTCCCGGAGACTCTGAAACCCATTATATACAAAGACTCACAGGTAATGAACTGGCCTATAAAACAAAGTTTGACATCTATTGTGAGATAATAAACAATAGTACAAGACACAATATGTTGCACCTTGGAAAAGATATGCCCCTATGTGTCTTTATTGTATTGAAAAGTGTTGAAGGTAAGAGAAAACACACAGACTTCTGATGAGCCATAACAATCAAACATGGACTGCTGAAAACAACCCATTTTAGTTTTATTATCCTTCTACAAAAGGGTAGAACACATGAAATACTATAAAATAAAGTAAACTAAAAAGAACAGTACAAACAGCATACACATGCAGAGAGGTCAGCAGGTCCCTCTCTGTTACATCCAGTGCAAAAGTCTAAGTCAAAGTTCAAGACATGCCACCTTGACGTCTACATTTAGTTCAGTATGCAGCCAAGCAGTCTCTTTTCTCCTCCTTCTGATCCAGACCCATCTGTCCTCTTCACAATGCAGCTGGGACCGCCTTTACCGAGGCCTCCCTCACAAGTCTTTCCTTAGTTTAATCACAAAGGAGGATCCCTGCAATAAAACAGGAGCTTGGATTATGTGGGGGAAAACAGCAGGATTCTTAGGAGGAAAACTCAAACTAGGTTTATAAAAACAATCAAATGTACCAAAGTGGTTATCGCCTCCACAGATAAAAAATACAGGCTATTGGACTGAGCTGGCTTGAGAGCTGTGAGTGAGAATTGACCTCCCCATGTGGAAAGTCAAATCTTAACTCAGAGTCTAGTGGCAACTTTATGTTGAGAAGTTCAATGTCGAAAAGAGGTTGTGTGTTCAATTCATGAGTTCATCAAGGTAACATGGTGTTTAAAAGGAAAACAAACATGCGTCAATTTCATCACTTTGTTTTCAGCTGTGACTAAAGCAAAATGAAGGAAGTCTGGCATGATTCTACTGATACCAAAAGTAATCAAAAACATGCTAATGTGTCTTTCTTCTAGGCTGTTGAACTTTCTTTCTTTTTTCTTGCAAGCCCCTTATCTTCTACACAGCCAAGACCCCTGCACTTGCCAATAATTTCTCACGCTGAACCAATTTAGCTTGAGCCGACTAAACGGGATTACCCCCTTGGTTTTCCTTTTTGTAAGTAAATTGATATGAACTCCTTGGTCCTAAATAAAAAGGCAAATCCAAAGTGATGAAAGTGCTGCACATTCCTAAAGGTGTGGCTTTTGTAGAAAGAGTTCAGAGTGGAGGAGAGTTGCTGTGCAGATGTGCAGAGAGGCCAGAGAGAGAGAGGCAGAGACAGAGTGCACTCAGGACACTAACACTAAACACTAAAGCACAACCAAGGAGTCAGTTGCTTTTACTTACACAGAAACCACTGCACTCACTCACTGCAGAGCTTACTTCTTCTTCCCGCCTAATGATATACTTTCAGTTTTTTTCTTCTGTGCCTCATTGAACAAAAGACACACCTTTATGTTAGCAAGCGGTTTGATTTGTGTGAGTGTATGAATGTGTGACCCCACCCATGTGACACAAATTGCACAATTACAGTGTTTGGTAGCTCCAGGTGAAAAGCCTCAAAATGCCTGTTTGTCACACCAGGAAACCTGGATAACTGCCATTGTTTTAACCCTTTAATTTAATCTGGTTTACCACACAGGCTAAGCAACATGTTGGAGACCATGCAGAACTGTCACTTTAACCTCTGATCACTGCATGTCTTATTCACAGTCTTTGTACTACAACCCCTGAGTCCATTTTATAAGACTGTGATTGCTGCCACAAAAAATATCATAGTAACAGTGCAATTAACAATATACATCTTATTGTTCTAATGTTTTCCTTGACCAAAGGGTAAGGGTATTGTTTAAATAAGTGTTTTTTTTTGTTGCAGAAACCGTTTATTTGTGGAACATTGCTTCTGGTGGAGATTTAATAGAGATAGAAATAAAAGGGTTGTTTCTTGGTTTGGAACAGTAAGTTCCTTGAGTGGAAGCTTCAAGGTTTCAATAGGGTCTTCCTTGCTCACAGGATAGGTTATTTTGATGCTCACACATGAGTTAGGATTATATAAAGTCTTTATTAGTTTTTATTTATTTTATTAGTTTTACAGATTGAAAAGCGTTTGAGGCAAATTTGTATTAAAGTAAAATTGACTTGATTTTGCTTGCTTGCAACTGGTCAGAGCCAAAAACAAGGACTGGCACAAAGCCCAGTTGCCGCTTTTACATGTGATTTTTTATTTTGCTATTAGTTATTGATCTTTAGAGGTTTTGGTTACCTTATCAAGCAAGGCTAGCAGTAGTTTATTTGTGCTAAACTAAGTTAAGCTGCTGCTTGCTGTAGCCTTATATCTAATGGAAAGATGTGAGAGGGGCATTTATCTTATCATCTAAGTCTCAGTATTAAGGTAAATGTTTCCCAAAAAAAGAAACGCTAAATTATAAATGTTCCTTCAAAGTTTTCTTATTGTGAAACATCTATAAGAGAAACTCTAATATTTCAACTCTCCCTACAACTTTCTCACTCCATGTTAAAGAGTGTCATGTTACTGGCAACAAGTGATGAAGTTTGGCATGTTTGTGATCTATTGAAATTAGTTTAACATAGAGAGGTGTGAGAGCTTGAACGAAGCATGGCTGTGCTGATAGACTAATACATAAATAAACTTGAATACAAGTCCTACCTCAGTCATGGCATCATCGATCTGTTTCAGCTCCTCGTAATGGTCACGAGAGTCTCTCAGAGGTTGAACCATGATCTCCTCAATCTGAGGGAAAAGCTGTTGGACACCACAGTAAGGTCATTAATTGTGTGTGTAATCAGTGCGTGTATTTGTAAAGGAACACATCTGTACACACATCGTCCTACCTTCATGACCGTCTCAAACATTGGGATGAGGACAAACTTGATGAATCCAATCTGAGCAGTGGGCTTGGTGACTTTGTCTCTGTCCATGAAGGGAGCCACGGGGAGACCCTCAGACTTCTCCCTGTCACTCTGAAAGCACATGAGTGGAAACATTGCCATTTAGCCTTGGCTCTCATTGTACACATTTGGTATCATTTGGTATTAATATAAACCATTTACTAGTTGCCTATTAGCATGCATATAAGTAGCATATGGCCCTGGATAAGTCATTCCAAAACAATTATTAATGCCTTTTACTCTATGACCATATTCTACCAAAACTAGGACAAAGTTGACATGATGGATTCAGATAATGGACTTGAAAGAATTCGGTCACCTGCATGAAGTACTCCTCCAATAGGCAGTCCACCCATGGCTCAGCTACCTCAGTTGGCCTCACTTCGTTGGAAATGTCACAACACTTGATCATAACCATCTTCAGCTGAAAACACACACACATACATGTGTAGGATAAAGAAGCCTATTTATCTTAACAAACATACAGCATCTACCGATTTTCTTTAACTACTTTCCAAATTATACTTATACAGTCTATTTAGCCTCTGCTGATCACAGCACAACCCGCAGATAAAGGCCTGCTTGTGTTGAGATCATGGCTTGCATGTGCCGTGCAATAAACAGCTGATGACAGGTGGATAATGCAACGTGATCTTGTATACATACACATGTCACATGCTCCTCATTGGTGAAATCAAAGTTGTCCACTTTCTGCTTAAAGGACTCTAGTATCTCGCCATGTCTGGCCATGTCGGTGGCCAGGATGAGGGTGATAATTGCCTGGAAATATAAAAAGATAAGTCACTTTGCTCGACATTTGCTAAAATATTGTTCAGATTAATATATTTGTAAGTGACAATGCTGAATAGGATATAGATAAAACTCATCATGCTTGTCACAGTCAGAATTCCACTTATGTATCTCACCTGTCGGATCTGTTTGAAGGCCTCAGGATCCACATTGGCAAAAATGTTGCACTCAGGAAGAGACAGGATCTGGAAGGCCACAGCACAGTGGTGGTTCTCCAGCGGAGATATGTCATTGTAGCGCACTGCCAGCTCTGTGCGTGCATTGATCTGGTACCTGGTGGATGGATGACACGTGTGAATTGATAATATATTCCCATGAAGCTTCCCTGATGAGAGAGGTCTCGGCCTGCAGAAAACTTCGACCAAAAACAAGAAGATGATCTGAATCGGCGTGTTTTCATACCTGAACTCTCTCCATGCTGAACCAGTTTCACAGTTCATTGACACGATGTTGTGCAGAGGATGTCAAAACATACTGGAGGCAGTAGGCAGACAAAATAGGGGGTCTTACGTGTTGTTGTAGCCAGGGTGGTCCAGGTCATGGCACACTGCTGCTGTCATCAAAATGCCCATATCTGTGAGAGTCAGCTTCTCCTGGACAGCAGTGTGAAAGAAAGGCGTAATTACAAATCATCCAAGTGAACATCAAAAGGTCTGATCTGGAAAGTCAGTATAGATCTAAATAGACTTCAGAAGTATACTTCATCATGAACAGACATAGACATTTACCATACCTGTAGGTTGCAGAGGTTAATCATGCCATACATCATCTGACTGACGCAGAAGCAATGTCGAAAGTTGTGGAAAGGGTTGTTACGGTAGTTCTCCTGAATCGCCAACTTGCAAATAACACAATTATTCAGTCAGCATTTTAAGTAAAAACCTTTTTGAAAACTACACAATGTGTTATTTTTTACTGTTCGAACTTTTACCAGCCAACGTTTGAGTGTGATGGGGTTCATGTTGAATTCCTTCACTAGTCCCAAGTCATGGTACATGTACTCCAAACAACTTAGCATCTAAATTCACAAAGGAAAAGAAAGGAGATCCAGACATCAGTCACTTGGATAACATGGAATGGAAATGGCTGATTGAGTTATGGAGCTGCACTGTCAACAAACCTCGTTATGTTCCCAGTGCCAGACATCGAATGTCGGCTTCTTGAGCGCCTCAACAGTCTCCTGAGAGAGTGTGTACTGTAAAAAACGAACAAACATACCATTAGAACTTTAAAAGGAAGCTGTTGTCATTAATTTAGTCAGCTTCATCGGTTAGTAATGAAATAAAAGTCCCAGCGGACATACCTTTGGGTAATTGGGGACATCTCGTCTGGGAGTGACCTTCTTCCCATCGTCAAAGTTGTATTTGCATGGACAGTTAACTCTGATTTTGCGAAGCAAGAAAAGTTGATTTGACCCGATCTGGTATCTTTTGATATCTGTGAGTAAGATGTAAAATGTCCAATTTATCAATTTTACCTGGCACCACCTCTTGAAGCCATCTCATCTCGTAGCTTTTTCAGATCATTTTTACACTTCTCAATCTCCACCACCTTCAGGCCCTCCACTGTCAAGATGACAAGAAGAAATATCACAGTTTGGCTTCCTCCCAGGTCAGCTGTATTTCATTTTTAATTTACATGTCAGGGGGATTTTTTTTGTGTGTAAACCATCTGCTATAAAATGTAACACTTACATTCCACTCTCTTCTCCAGCATTGCTAGCCTGTTCGTGACCTCCGTCTTCAACTCGTTGATCCGGAAGGCTCTGTGAGAGGAAGTAATAGAAAATGATATATGAATCATATTTCACATGGTTAATTGGTCATCAAAACTAAATATAACTTGGATGGGGCCACAACAAATCAATGACAAAGGTAAAATAAGTTGTGTGATTGAACTTGCCTTTATGGGTTAAGGCTTGTATTATAATTGTAAGTCCCTGGTGTCAGGTATGTGTGTAAGGTATGTGTGAAGGTGGGAAAGGGCAGGCTTCAGCCACATCATAACATAAACAACTGGGGCGTTACCTGCTGAACTGTTCAGCCACCTGGGACAACACGTTCTGAAACATGTCTTCCTTTTCTGCAGACACAAATGCACCCCTGATAAATCATCATGAACAGCAATCACGTTGTGAGGTTTGGTATTTTTGAGCTCATTACTTTCACAGTAGAAGTGTTGTTGATGCATGAATGTGTGTATTTGTGAGCTTGTTAGAGTGAAAGGAAAATAAGCTTACCTCCAAGCTGACCAGTCGAAAGAGGCACAATTTTGTACAGAGAGCTGTGAGGAAAACAGATGAGTCGTTATGATTCAAAACATCAGTTTAAGTACAACTTATTTACATTGCTTTATTTTGCTAATATACACAGAGCAATCTCACCTCTGTCGAGGTTTTGGATTTATGTTTTTATTTTCCACCTTTCATTTTGAAATGTTTTCCTCCTTGTGTCTTGTCTGATCCTACTTGCTGTGTTTGCCTTCCTGTCTTTAGTTTCCCTGGTATGTCTGATTGTGTTCACCTATTGCCCTTGTGTTTCTGCCTCCCCTGCCAGCTGTGTCTGTCCTGTGATTGACCTTCTGTGTATTTAGCCTTGTCTTCCCCTCTGCTCCATGTCTGTTCGTCGTCTCTCCTCGTCTATGTTACCTGCCCGTCTCTTGATGTCCATGCTCTTGTCCATGTTACCTGTCACGCTCCATGCTTGTTCCTGAGATTTTTTGTCCTGATCCTTCCTCGTACTCCCCCGGTTTTGGTCATGTTAAAGAGCATCTTGCAGGTTTTTATTTATTCTACATTTATGCTTAAACTTGCTTGAAAATTACAATTAAAAAAGTGAATGCAGGATTTGATATGTTTTACGAGACATAAGGGCAGGAATTCAGAGGGAAAGGAGCAATTTTGAGCTCTGCTCTTAAAAACGGCTTTTTTTTAAGGTCATACGTCAAACGCGTCATATTACATCACGCAGGGGACACATCTCCGCTCTCTGACCGCGGGTATAGTAGAGTTGCCTTGAGTAGAGCGGTTGTGTTTTAAGGAGCTGGTATTTTTCGGTAGTTTTACATTGTATTTCACCATTTGTAATCATGGTGCAGTATTGTGTTTGTGCAGGTTGCACAAATACCAGCCTGTCAGGACATCGAGTCCACAGTAAAAAGGACCGGAGCTTGCGTTCGTTCCTCGGTGCGTTGTGCAGCACATACTCTCCACAGCTTTATCAGGAACCGTATTACTTCTCTCCCCCCCCCTTCGCTGCTCTCTCTCTCTCTCTCCCCTCCGGTACACGGCACCGTAAGACATTGCATTAGGTAACGCTGTGGTGGCTGTACTGCTCCAGCCGTCTCCTTTGTGTTTGTT